TCTAATTAATCTATGTGAGACACTCAAATCTCCAAAGTTTCATCGAAAAGTAGAGCCGGTGGGGATATGGCAACATTGCAATTCAAAATTGTTTTCACCCTGTTGGTTTTATGATAACGATATATACATGTTGTATGATTTTTCAAGTTATCCTCATGTAAAAATCAATGGTGAAATGAAGATGCGTTAATTTTTTTTCTTTTGAAAATTTAAGATGAGTTTCGCCATTTTGGAAATTATTAAATAGATCGATCTAAAAATCGGGAAAAATTGGAACAAATTCACACATAACCAGCGTCATTCAAATTACATTTTGCAACATATTAATTGTCTTTCAAACATTTCATTCGTATAAATAAATAATGTAAATTGTTGGGTTATTTATTTATTTTTGTAAAATTCTGAACATAAATAAATTTATTCTCAATTTGCAAAAATTATTTCTAGCGCAGAAAATTGATTGTTTATCAATTATTTATGAAAATTGGTATTAATATTCAAAAATATCAACAATAACTTGTGACGTATTGATTAGACAATCAAGATGATTGAAAATTATCGAAAGATATTTTTGTGGGCAATTCATTCAGCTAGAAAACTAGCAGCGCGACAGAAGCCATTTGACAAATTACATATGACTGCTACTCTCCACGTATTTTTTTCTCCTATTTTGAATTCTACCAATTGGTAGTAGGCTTCCGAATGAATTCTAGAGTATGTTTTCAAAAAACGAAGGCATAAGGATTACCTTTTTTTGAAAATATTAAGGCCAATCCTATTCATACTTCATGCAAAGTATCGTTAGCTATTATTATCTATTTATGGAAAAATCATCCTTTTCATTATATCACCATTTGTAAATCATCTAGTCAGAATAACGAAATTATTAGAATAAATAAATATGAGAAACAGTTGTCACAGTGGTCACATGGATAGGGTGCGGCGGCGGTCATCTATAGATGCTTATAAGCTTTGTCTGATTTTCCCCTATTTCTGTAAAATAAATATGAAAAAACCATACATTCATATTACATGGCTTTCTCAGTTATTCTGATGTGCAAATGAACGATGAAATATAGATGCGTAATTTTTTTTTTCTCAAGAATTTCGGATGAATTATTCCATCTCAAGATGATTTTTTAACCAGGGGGGACTCCTTGACCCCACTGGACAATGTTGTCACAACTCTGCTTTTCAACTCAATTGTCAGAGTTGAAAATCAGAGTTTATAGCAGAGATGTCAGATAAGATGTGAATGTTTTTTTGAGCCCGAAGAAAAGAGCGAGTCTCGAAATGACGTGCAAATGATTCTAAGGATGATTTTTTAACCAAAAGAGACTCCTAGACCCCACTGGACAATGTTATCACAACTCTGCTTTTCAACTCAATTGGCAGAGTTGAAAATCAGAGTTTATAGCAGAGATGACAGATAAGATGTGAATGTTCTTTTGGGCCCAAATGAAAGCGAGTCTCGAAATGGCATGCGAATGATTCTAAGGATGATTTTTTAACCAGGGGAGACTCCTAGACTCCACTGGACAATGTTGTTGCAACTCTGTTTTTCAACTCAATTGTCAGAGAGGAAAATCAGAGTTTATAACAGAGATGTCAGACAAGATGTGAGTGAGAATCTACCGTGAATCCACGGTAAAATTTACCGTGGAACGTGCGAATAGACACTGCCAAAAAAGAATGAAATTAAAAAAAAAATTGTTTTGTCATCCAATCCTCTTTTTGGATATGATCCGGCACTTTACCACTCCCTACACTGAGAGAAAAACGAACAAGTTTTCAAACAAGTCTTATTTTGGCCAATAAAATCGTAAATCACTTCTGTATGATCCGTTTTTTTCACACTGTTCATTTATCCTCCTAAAGGCAGACCGCGGTGAAATTTGAAAGTCTCGGCTCGACGTTAAGAGCCATTGAATGACTTTTGATATATGAAGGGATATATAAAAAAGTGAGAAAAGTTTCGGACCCGAACCGTTTTGCCCGGTATATCCACCAAAAACGTCATTTTTCACGTTTTTAGCTTAAAGATACTCCTTGGACCACAGTTTTCATCCGATTTCAACTTTTTTTTTTTTTAATGTTCGCTATACTCCAACGAATAAACCCAAGGATCCGTTTTGCTTTATATTTATTAGATCATGAGAAAATGTTTTTCTTTAGTTTTCATTTTTTTTCCTCTTTTTAGCAAATGCTAAAATTCGTTGCTTTCCGCCCATTTTTTTTTGTTATAATATTTCGTTTACGTATAATTACAACATGGAATAACGAAAAACAACTAATTTTAGCATTTGCTAAGAAGAGGAAAAAAATAGAAAATCAAAAAATCATTTTCTCATGATCTGATAAATATAAAGCAAAACGGATACTTGGGTTTGTTCGTTGGAGTATAGCGAACATTAAAAAAAGAAAGTTGAAATCGGATGAAAACTGTGGTACCAGGGGCATTTCTAAGCTAAAAACGTGAAAAACGACGTTTTTGATGGATATAGGGGGCAAAACGGTTTGGGTCCGAAATTTCTCTCACTTTTTTTATATATCCCTTCATGTATCAAAAGTCGTCCAATGGCTCTTAAGGCTGAGCCGAGACTTTCAAATTTCACCGCGGTCTCCCCTTAAGGAACATTCGCAGTAAGTATACTTGGTGAAAATTTCGAAATGGTATAAAGACGCAATATTTGGATCATATGTTGTTGAGCACATTCACAAACTATTCCCAAAATTTCAAGTACCTTGTCCACCCCATTTTTGAAATATACATCGTCAAAAATGGAAAAAACACAAAAATTGAATGTTAGGTGATGCATATCTCAAAAATGGGGTGGCCCAGGGACTTGAAATTTTGGGAATATCTTTTTAATGTGGTCAACAACATATGATCCAAATATTGCATCTTTATACCATTTCGAAATTTTCACCAAGTATACTTACTGCGGAAGTACCTTAAAAGGCAATGGAACTTACCATCGGAGTAAAAATTGGATTCCAATTGGAATCCAATTTTACCCTCTCGTAAACATAGGCGCCGCCATTTTTAACCACAGCTGGAATGACAGTGGTGGGGGGGCTGGATTTAACTTTAATCACGAGTTAACCAGGGTTAGTTTAACCAAAAAACTGGCCCTCAGTAACCCGCTTCCCTTGTTGAGTAACAATTTCACCCCCCCCCCCCTGCATCCATGCGTCTGCCCTCCACTCCCTCAGGAAGTCGTAATTTTCGGGAATTTTTTTGTTCACTTAACAATTGCATTTTTTTATTTAAACAACGCATACAAACGAAGGGGTGAGTGGCTAGAATAAATTCTGCACCCCCCTCGCCTTGTTGGGTAAAAATTTCAACCCTCCCTTCCTTATCATGCTTTCCTCATCGCATTTATTTTGCACAATTGGATGGAAATTGGACGATGAATGTCATTGTGTAAGTTTGAGAAGGATAATTAACACTGTGTAGAATTTCAGTTGATTTGTCATCAACTTATTCTTATGGACTATGGCGTACTTTGCACAGTGTATACTGCGATGTAAAATGTGTAAGAACCCTCTCCGTGAGTTATCATTGTGATGAACATAATAACATCAATTATACTGTAAATAGTAAAGTGTCAGAACACCGTGTGTCGAAATAAACCGTGATTGAAGGTAGTGTCTCAGTATCAATGGTGTTGAATGTGTTGCGTTCATTCGTGAAATTAATGCGCAAATGGAATAAGAATATAGAATTGAATATCTGATTGTGTACAAAATAAAAGATAATTCTATTGAGTCGTACATATTAGTATTTGATACAGCTCTTGAAAATCTCTCACAGAAATACAAGTGTGCGCATTGATACTATTGAAAAAGAAAATATTCCCAGGAATGAGATTATTTCTACATATTTCAAACTTGATGTACTCATTATTTGATTCACTAGCCACTGAACTGCTTTATGAGTCAATCAATCACGTGTCAGTCTTAGTGGTGCTTATTTCCAAGTGCAAAACTTGGCTGTGTATTCCTCGAATTAACATTATTCTACAAATTTTTACCAATAAACAACTAACAGGAGCGGCTTGCATAAATAATTGCTTCAACTCATCAACAGTATGTGTAATCGACTTATCGTTGTAAATGCAGCTCATAATATCAAATTTATTCTCAGACAAGTCTTACACAGTCGCATGTCAATTTTGAAAATGTAGAAAACCCGTCTGTGTTTGTTTCCCTTGTGTAAAAACGCTCCGTGACCAGGTGAAATGTGGCTAGTTGCTAGACAGTCTAAAATTTTATCATCATATCTTAGGTTTTACTAAATTTCGGGATAGAAATGAGAAACCGATGTCTCGTAATACACTTTTATAGAACGGTTGGATAATTTTCATCAAAAATTTCTCTCCGTGCACGCCTCTGGTGGTTTGGATTCTCGGAATTTGCGATTACGAAAGGACCCTTCTCCACCAGAAAAAGAGCGAGAGTGCGGAGTCAAAAAGAGATGCGTGTGGAGGCAATGGTGGGGATACGAACCACTGGGCGGACTGTTGCTCACAGTCCTCGCGTGTTAGAGAAAGATAGAGCAAAAGAAGTTAGAGAGAAAACGGTCATAGAAGGAAATTGCACTAGTGGGGGAGCGGTTCCCTTCATGCGGTGGGACAGTATGCACTTACGAAAGTGAGTAATTATTTTGATGGAAATAGAGGCGAAAAACTGGCAGGCCCTTGTGAAATTTTAGTTTGCCATTCAGTAAATTTTCATCAGTCCTTTACTAATAAGTGATAACCTCTGTAATTTGAAAAACTAATTGGTAGCAACTGTAGAATGTTGATTACTCAACCTTCCCATTTCACGCACGCACAAGCTTAATTTGTGTTCAGAATTCATCACTTTTCACCGGTCCCATTTTTTCCCTCTTCAATATGATAAATAATTGAAAGCTTCTATGGAAGAGTAAAAGGGAATGAAGGGGGAGGCGAAGACTATAAAATTCAGGGCTGCAATAAATTTCTCAATCATTGTTTTTCACTTGAAATAGTATTTGGATTATAATTAGAATTAAAATCTTAATCAGTGAGCACAGAAATTCAGAATTAGTGAATAGGGCATTGCAACATTGAAATTGAACATGTGATAAAACGAGACGCATTATTTTCATTAACTTTAACATTCAATACAATAAGAACGTTGATGAATAATTTCTTTTTGAAACAAAATCAATAAGAAAACGAAAAATGAACAGACATACCATGTGAGTGCTCAGGTTGAATGACCGTTGGAGCAATACATTGCTCGCTGAATCATTAATGGTAGTCAGAATAGTATATTGTGCACCAAGGAAGGAAAACAGGCAAAGCCGAGGTCAGTAAACACGTAGCTTTTACTATCCTGATTTGCTTCTTAGATGCATATACAATTTTTTCGGCATAACTGCATGGTAAAGTGCGCTTTTTCTCCGTAAATGAACGGAGGAACGTGGGTTACGTCAGTTCGAGGATCGTCGAAAACAACGGAAATCCAAGGAATGAAATTAGCCACTTAGACCGCGTCATTTGGAGAGGATAATCGAAGTTTCCGTGCAGATGTGACGAAAAATCATTCATTACGAATAGGAATAAATTTGAGAAGCACTTCGCCTATACAATTTAACGATAAATCTGGCACCATTCGAACACTGCCTGCCAACTCCATTGGTTCAAGGTAAAAATTGCGGAGTAATCCTGCTAATGTTGTCTTCAATTCCAACATGGCGAAGTGTTTCCCTGTAAATGAAAGGCATCCCTTACGTATAATGATTTTTTCGTTTACGAGATATTGTTCCAATGGAGAAATGAATTTTCTTTGAATAAGTTCATTGCATAATCATTATGAAAATAGTTGATCCAATTACCGATGCAATTCCTTGTTCCAGCACTAAATGGTATATAAGCAAATGGATGTCTTCCCGCTGAATTTTCTGGTAAGAATCTGTCAGGATCAAACACATTTGGACGAGGCCAGTAATGCGGATCTCGATGAGTGTCAAAAGTTTCAATATTAATCGTAGATCCTTCAGGTATGAAACAAGTTTCTGGACAAAAAATAAAAATTATAATTAATTGTATTGTTTTTTGTTGCCATTTGTTTGTAATTGTTTTTTGATATCAAAAAGTTCAAAAAGTTGCACTAAGCCTGATTCAATCACTAAGTTGCTACATGTCGTATTAAATTTTATAAAAACTTATTAAAGTAAAACAGAAAAATTACTTAGTTGTATGTCTTCGGTTGTTCTCCGACTGAAACAAGGCACAGACGGATACAGTCGCAAGGACTCTTTGATGCATCGATCAAGGTAATTGAGCTTCTGCACATTTCTCATATCCAGTTTTCCATTGACGCTCCCCTTCATGACTTCTATTACTTCTTCTCTGCAACGTGCCTTTGAACCGATCACCCGTAAATTAGTCAACGAATTTTTGGACTTGAAACAAGGGCGAATGAATAATTTGATCTTTTTAAAAACCCAAATGTTTAAAAAAAAATGTGTCAAGGAAAGGCTTCATTTAGCTATTCCTGAAACGTAAGAACCCTGTTTATCGAAAAATATGATTTTCATAGGAATATTTTCGAATGAATGGTTGAATGGACTGTCAGATTGCTTCGGAAAAACTTCGGCAAAACTGAAATCTTGCTCTAACCCAAGTCTCGTCACGAAACGCGATCCTGCGACTTTGGTCACCTCCGCGGGGATTTGCCGTCGTGTTATTTAGGCTTTAGCATTGCCGAATTCACTCTATACTGGCCCGGCGCGTTGAGAGAGTTTCCGGCAACGTCGCGCCATGGGCAATTTTAGTGAAGATGGGAAAAAATAATTCATCTGTCCGAAATAATTTGTTTTCTTTAGGAATTTTGGGAAATATGTTGTTCTAGAAACTACTATAATTTTTTAGATCCTTCAATTAACAAAGACAATTTTTATTCAATTTTTCCGCTTAGCCAGTCAATTGTAATTAAAGAAAACCGACGCGTGGCGGGGTATTCCTCATAGGGTGATCAATCTAGGGTCAAAAAAGTTGCCAACTTGAACGAAATACTTGGCTATTCTGAAAGCGTTGAATAGTTGGTTCTGTATGGATCATATTAATTATGGAAAAATTAATGGTAGCTCGTTATTCAAATTTACACTTTCGGGGATTCGGGGGTACCATCATCCAAAAGTTTGCACGATTAGTGCCAATGATCTGGACCAGTGTAATGCCTTCATGTCTATTATCCCTAACTATTCCAAGAAATTTATCCCTTTGCCAAGGAATTAGAGGAACTCCAGTTAGAAAACGTCTTCCAATTACCAATGTGAATGAGTATTGTAATTGATGCCATTGTGACGGGAGGGGGGGCATGCCTACTGTATGTTGTCAAACAAATGTGGAAAATGAGAAATTTATGTACTCATGGAATGATTGATATTACTGACGATCTTATCGATGGAGCGCCTCAATTCAAATATATAATTGCTGGTAAATCAATAATTATTCAGGAGTTTATCTCGTTGAAGACATCATTTTACAGCTATCATTTACTTTTTCTAATATCACTAATTGTGGGGCTGCTATAACAATCGATATTGTATATGCATACCTGGATGTCACGATGTTCTGCCAGAAGTAATGCTGTGAAAACCAAAGACTGACCGGTGGTATGGTGACTCTGAACATTATTAAATGAAGTGAAACTGATGAATATTGTTACACGAAAAGAATCTATAATTATTTGTTACTGTGGGAACATGGTGATTTTTAATATAAAAAATAGATTGGAAAAATAGAATGGACCATACTCATCACACTCAAAATTAACCATTGAAAACATAAATTTTGTAATCAAATGAAAAACTAAAACGTGCTGGATGAAAAAATACGGCTGATAAAATTAGAATATGGTGGGGTCCGTTGGAAAAATTACTGTTGAACAAAGTAAAAATTGTGAGTCGGCAAAAAAAAAGAAATTCAAAGAGAATTAGAATTCAGAGAGAAAAAATCCCGCACCACCCAGCCAGGAGTCGAACCCGCGTCTCCTAGTTACGCGCCGACCACTCCCAATTAGGCTACTGGGAACTACGGAATTTCTCTCTCCAAATTCGCCTCACAACATCGCCTAACCACCTTTAGGCATTAAATCAATTCAAAGAGAATAAACAATGGTAGTATAAATGTCAAATTTTCAATTGACACGAGTATCATTTGGGAGGATAGACATGAATTTTTACTTCGTCGGTTAAAAAACATATTCTCTCCCCCTTTCAAAATACATATTCGCGGAAGAGGATAAGGGAGAGGGGGATTTTTTGAATAACCTATATGAACAATCCTATAAGCATGGTCTCGTAGGGTTATTGAGATTGTTTAGGTTCCTCTCATTGGGAGGAACATTAAATAATAATCATACAGTAAACAATAAAATATAAATTTGTTGTTATAAGTTATACTTTTCGAGAAGGTCAATAAATTACATTCAAGGACCAGGACTTCTTTTGTGACGGTACCAGTCTTTTACCCAAAAACTAAAGCAAAGTAATAGCTAAAAATGGAGACTACTTTCTATAGAATGCCACTCATCTTCAAATTGAAGACTCAGGGGCTCCTTTCTCATACAAAAACGGCGGCAATTATCGCGAGTACTCAAATTTTTGTTTAGGTTTAGAGTATAATGTATTAAGGAGTAATAAACCTTAAAGTTGATACTGACCGCAGCAATAAAAGTATCCACTTCCTCCTGTATTCCATTGCTGTCAATTCCCTGGTCTCTGCGGAATATCGTAATCAAAAGGTCGACGAAGCTGAGACGTCTACCATTCTCTGTGAAATGTAATATATTTCCAATTTATGATCCAGAATTGATTCTCTGATGATTCTACAAATGTCTTGGAAAATAATGAGTGCTAGAAATTTTCCTCAGGAGCCCGTTTTTGGATATAGGATACCCTATAGCCCACAAACTAATTTTTGAGCATTATACCAAGACTACTTTTTACGGACTTACTCGAGAATATTTGTAAAGTAATCAGGAACTGACCTTCATCTTGAATATTGAATTTTTTGTCATTTCAGAGAGGTTTAGGATTTGAATGGCATACGTACTCAGGTCTGCTGTTTCACTGTTGAATTCCATTCCTGCCGCTGAAAATGCTTCAATATCTTGCCCATCAGTTGAGTCATGGTACTGTTTTCGTTCTTCAATTATTTTTTTTGTGAATCCATGCATGATTTTCAAAACTTTGGCCTGTTTTCTGCCTTGAGCTGTCATCGAATAAATCAAGTCGTTTTTCAGCCACGGCTTTATTGTTCTGGAAAGACATAATTTTGCTACTACGAGCGCCCATTTAGAAGTGTAGATAAATAATAAGTATTCATCCATTTATGGCTTGTGACAGAATTTTAGACGAATTCGTCGCCTTCGGAACACCAAGGTATATATACGTGAAAGGAAAGAAAGAGAGACTAAAAATCGAGAAACAACTACCTTGTTGTCGCGATAATTTTTTCGACAGAAAATTAAAGTTATTTGCTACATTAACGAAACTTCAGAACTACCTTAAATACAGAAAAGTTACTGAAATTATTTACCTGCCGCATGGCTCGATTCCTTAGATTTTTAGATTCTTCAGTACAAATTCAGAAATAAAGTTACCAATTTTTCTGATACTTTAGTTGAGTTCGGTGTCCATTTACTTATCGTTAAATTATTTAGAGATTTTTAACATAGATGTCAGAGCCACCAAATGGGCTTTAAACTAACTACTCTTGGGGGTCAGCCAATGAAATCACTGAGAGTGAATCAATGATAGGCGCCAATCAATGAGATCACTGGGTTCTCCATGATCTCATCGGTTGGCCTCCAAGAGTAGTTAGTTTAGAGATCAGTTGATGGCTCTCACATCTATGTTGCGATCGCTAATAGTTCTTCGTCCACGAATCGATGTTCGTTGACGATTTGTTCATACTAATCGTATAGCAGATTTGTTGACGATCGCCGATTCGTGCACGCAGATGAATTCAGCAACGTCGAGAATAGGGCCCCCAAGCGGAAGCCCGTGGAGAGACAATGCCGTATTCACCCGTATTTTACACCTACAATGACCTTTCCAGTTTAGCGCCGTCCAAACTCGGTTTTCGGGAGTAATTACCTCTATAAAATAAATTAAGATTATTCGATTCGACGCAGCGGACAATGGTCAGTACCGGTTTACTTTTTTAGTTGTGACTTTCAGTGCGACTCTCGTATAGCATACGTGTGATTAATGGCGGAACGTCTCCGCTAGCTAGCCGAATATACGAGACTAAATGTCCGCGCGCGCGCGCCCACCGAATGTCGCCCTGCCGGTCAGAATTTCTACTAGGGTAGCGTGGAATGGCGTCGCTACCTTGTGAAATGACGCCATCCTCATAACTCAAATACGTCTCGCTACTGCGACTGATGCCACATGCTACCTATCCTATTGCTACCTTTCCGCTGGCGCTCTCAACTAGCTTGTTTGTGCTTAATTACGTTTTGCTACGATATGTTTTCAGTTCAATTTTCGTGGTTTGAATTCACAACAATAAAATTATTTAAGAGGGCAGGAGATAAAAAAAACTACCGAAATGCGAGCAAATCTGAGCTGCATAAATTCTCATCATTTAGTGAGTTCGGAGGCTCAAAAGTTATCACCAGCAAATCCTTAGCACCACGAAAGTGTTATGGAACAAGTTGAGAGTAATCTGAGGAGGATAAATAATTTTTAAAAATGTTTAAAAGTACGAGGTGGCTGACAGCTGTGAGCGTCGCCATCTTGGAAGTCACATGAAGTCCGGGGAGGGGGGACCCAAGCATCATGGCGGCGCCCAGGCCTGGCAACCACCTCGTATTTTTAATCATTTAGTAAAAATATTTATTCTCTTTAGACCACCTTCAACTTGTTTCATACCACTTTCGTGGTGCAAAGGATTTAGTGGTGATAACTTTTCAGCCTCGGAATTCATCAAACGAGGCGAATTTGTGGAGCTCCGATTTATCCGCATTTCGGTAGTTTTTTTTTATCCTCCTGTCCTCTTAAGGATGTTAGGGCTTTACAACCCATTTTAGCTTACGAAAAAAATTGTGCGTCTAAGCTAACATCGGTATTCCCCCAGCTAGAGAATTTTCACTAGCAGTAACTCTCTAAATTTGACAATGTAGCAAGGAGCGCCGTAGTGCGCATGCCTATCATCCACTCATGGGCCCCTCAGGGTAGTCAAGTATATGTATGTGTGTAAGTCGAAATCACCGGATGTAAAAACAGTTCTTGCTTATTTTGAAAAAAATAATGAAATCTGCCTAAAAACACAAAAACAAATGTTTTTGTAAGAAAACTGGGCCAAGAAAAAGTTTCGTTTGATTCCTACTGGGAAATCGAAGTTTTTGAAAAATACATAGAAACAAAAAAGACAGCCAAGTTAAGAATTTTGAATAAATGGTGATAGTGCACATTCAGGTTTCTATAATAAAAATAGTTTTCAATGGAATAAGTATTCTAAAAAAATTCTCCATGAAATAAAAAATCAGTAGGAGCAGGACCAACGTCCTTGGCGCGGATCAAAGGATGGAGGAGTAGATTGATACAGACAGTGAACTGAAAAACTCCGCGCTGGCGGCTGAGGATCCTTTATTTTCCCTCCCTAGGTTAAACATATACTATTGATGCCACCGCGTGACGTCACTACAGCGTTGCCACATTGAACCAGAGTGAGAATTTTTGTAACTAGACGGGTGAAATAATTTATTTAAAAATCGAAAAGCTTCCTAATGATTCTAAAAATTAATCCAAAAAATTTGAATATTTTTTCCCGGTATACCCAAAAAGTTTCAGATTTTTATCACCTTTTTTTAAGCCTAGGGGAGGGTGTGCCTGTATCGCTCGGCGGGTAATACCGCTCACCCGATTTTCTCCACAACCATCAACTTGAAAATTTTTTTCTGTTCCTGATCATGAAGAATTTGATGATAGGATGTGATTGTCGGAAAAATTTCACTTTATTTACCACTTTAAATATGAAAAAACACCTAACGAAGTTTTGAAGTCTTTACAGTGCAAAATTTGTGGACTTGTAATTAAGATTTTTGATAGTTTAAAATGCTGAATTCTCATATTAAACTGTGGTTATTCAATTCGTGGTACTTTCACGCGTAATTTGAGACCAATTCGAACTCAAAACTCCACTCACGTCAATAATTATCATGTCAATAGTTCAATAGTTAAAGAAGTCTCACGAATTCGTTTTTTATACTCGAGTTGAAATATAAAATATAAAACTAGCATTTCCTCTTAGGTGGGCGGTACTGGCACACCCTTCCGTATAGAATTTTTTACCACTTTTTCTCATAAGAACCTATGTTAATTTCAAACTCAATTATCTCCTACAAAAGCTTTCTAAAGTGCTTGAAACTTTTACTGAATTTTTTTTAGGGTAAACTTAATACAAAAAAAATTATTCAGATTTTTATCACTTTTTTTGACGTAATGCCCTATCATTCTCAAGATCTCTTACTTGAATTAAATCGCTCTCCATCCGCTTATAAACCATTCAACTCCAAAAGCTATTTATTCCGATGAAGAAAACCTTCATTTCCGGTTTAGAAATGCTCTCTTCCGGTAGAGCAGCCACGTGGCTAATTTGAAGCTCTCTAGCACCTTTTTTCTACCTTTTCGGTGGATAATATCCACGATTTTGGTATCGCAAATTGCGGGCTATTTAGAAACGGGCATAAATAGGTTCGAAAATTCTAATAATTATCGCCCGAAAATGCCTACACTTTTCTTAGCTCTCTCTCAATTGCACTTTGCTACAGAGTTCGCTCTCTCTCACGCTCATACTATATTCACCCATCTTCTCTCTCTGTCGGATTCATATTCCCTTCGTGAATAATACCTGTTCGTCTCTCTCCTACCTTTAGATAGGAATTTTTTTTTAACTTTTATTTATAGTCTATAGCTTTTCGAGTCTTTTGGAGTTATCAATCAGTATTTAAGATTAACTGAAATAACTTCGAGTTACATTTTTGTTATTTTTTTGTATGGTTACCAGAACCTATAATTTTGTATCAAAATAGCAATAGCGATACACGTCAGTACAATCGTATTGTATTATGGATTATCAATTCATGCCTTTTCCCGTCTGAGGTTTATATTTCAGTGCCTCCATTGATATTTGGTTTTTGATTTATTGACTTTCTCGTCCACGAATCCATCCCTCTCTCCACGTCCCACTTACTGAGCAACCAAGTAAATGTCATACCTCCGTGGTCTACATTATTATTATTACTGTGTTTGGTTCTAGTGACATTTCTTGTCATAATCGATATTTTGTTTTCAGACTACGGTTACGTTTGTGGTTCGTCGATTGCGCGTAGCTAAAAATCGGTTATAGTGCCCTAAATAATTGATACGGTTACGTTTGTGGTTCGTCGATTCCGCGTAGCTAAAAATCGGTTAGCGCCCTAAATAATTGAAGCAGAATGGAATGGGCTGCCAATTGTTTCTCGGAATCCAGTTTTGTTATTTTCGTTTTTGAAATTTGAGATTTATTGGGTCACGAGGGAGATGATGATTTGCTATGTTTCGGATAATCGATCATTTTGGGATAGGGTTTTGATGAGTATTGAGGCAAAAGAGAAATAATCACAGGCTACTCACCGCCAAAAGAACAGGTTTATAAAATCACGAAGTGCTTGTCTGTACTCCTTCAGGGTATTGTCTTCATCATTCAACCTAGTTCCCATAGCCGTATCTGAAGTACCGAGAAGAATCAAATTAGACGAAATTCAGGAGGAGAGTAGGAGAACGATTCAAGTCGATCATGCGAACTTTCCGAGAATTAGCGACTTGGAGGAAAAATGATAATAGTTTCGGGAACTGATCAAGTTTACCAATCACTGGTGTGGTTTCATTCCTTTAAAATTTTAATCTTGTTGGACGTTCTGAATTTTGTTTCCAACATTGAAAAGACAATACAACTTCCTTCAAATTAGAATCAAATTTTCATTTATTTCATTGTATAGGGGAGGGGAGGGCAAAACGGACCAGGCGGGCAACACGGACTGCTAATAGAAAATTGATAATTTTTGTTTTTGCTTCCGAATAGATGGAATGAGCTGCCGATTGTTTCCCGGAATCCAGTTGTGTTATTTTCGGTTTTGACGTTTGACATTTAAAAATCAAGGATGCCAAGGAAAATTTTCCCTTGGTTGCTCCTGGAAATGAGGACAATTTTCTAGAAAAATGCAACTTCCATAACAGAAAGTTGAAAAAAAAACAGAAATCATTGAAAATAATTTCGGCGGTAGGGGTACACCTCGGCCAATGGAACTCCCACCACTTTGGCTGCCATCGACGCATGTTGATCTTTTTTCTGTCGTAAGTTCTGTGACGCTCAGTGCTTCTTATTACCTCCGCTGGTAAAGGGACCTTCGCTCCTCAGCCAATACTTCTATCGGTAACATTCCGGCGAGGACACACGGCGTCCTCCTACACCTTCCGATATGCATTCGTAACTCTGAGGTCACTCAGTCGATACACTGGTGCGATCTTTTGTCGTGATTTCTGCAACGGCAGTGCATCTGCCTCGACGGCCATGCCGTATGTGAACTCCGACGTGATCACCGATGACAGCAGTGCTCGTCTCCGTTGCTTATAGGCCCCCCTATGCTGGACATGAGACGCGATAAGGTGCCTCTGACTTCAGACGGCTTGGCACTCACGTATTTTGCCTACTGCTTGGAATTAAATCGAGCATCGATCATCACCCCCCAGGATCGGATAAACGGCTGGGAAGTAATTTTACAGGACTCAACATGCAGAGTAATTGTCTCAATTCGTTTTCTGCTTGTAATCAGCACGGCCTCTCTGTCATATGTTCCGTCAGTTTCAAACCTATTGCGTCCATTCAGCGGCGGATCATCTCAAAGGTCGTATCGAAGCTGAGGTTGATCTCTTCCAGGTATTTACCCACGATGAGTACGGCACTGAAAATGTCACGAGCTTAGTATCCGGTGGCAATATCAGCTTCAGCAGTCGATCATATATGACATTCCACAACAAGGAACCCAGTACTGAGCCTTGAGTCACACTCTGGGTCATACTTAATCTGGCTGAGTTGAAGACATTTTTTATATCTAGTGTCGCTACTAGACAATACTTATTTGTACTATTGAGTCATTTTGTCCCTGAAATCGCTCCCCTGGTGGTGTCGACAACAATGTTGATGGCTTCTAGAGTGGATTAGCCTTTCCGAAAACCTTATTCGTTGTTGACTAACAAAGGTTCGACTGTTGTTTCTGTTCTTCGTTGCACGATACGCTCGAGAATCATGCCAGCAGTATCGAGCATGTACAGAGAACGATAAGATGAGGGTTCGTCTGGTGGCTTTTTCCTTTTTGGGAGTAATAACCATTGCAGCTTCTACATGCCAGGGAAAGTGCTTTCCCTGAAGTATTCATTGTAGTATCGTTCAAGAATTGTTTCGGCATCGCGTAGTTATCCACCTCAGCAAGGAGCTCTTTCCACGATTGCTTCTTATTGCGCTTGATAGCTTTGGTGAACTTCACGTTGAGACAATCTCTTGGCTGCGATACACTCTTTTCGTAGAACACCGATGGTGTCATTCCATCAATATACTAATGCTCGATACTCTTTTCGTAGGACACCGGTGGTGCCGTTCCACCAATACACTAATGGATGGGAAGTGCTACCTCGCATCCTCAGTCAGTCTATCCAAGAAAATCGCGAACTCATCAATCGAAAGGTTCGGCAGGGCATAGCAGCTGTAGAAAGGAATTCCATTAACCTTCACCATTACAAAGCCATTCTGTAACCACCAGTGATACTCTGGACTGGCCTATTTCTACAAGATCAAATTATAGTCTTCTTACTGACATCAGTAATCCAGGCTGGAATGCAAAAATGTTGGTATGATTCTGAGATCATGACAAGGTACCCNCGGAAGTAACTGAATTTTTGAGTAAGTGTCTGAAAATTTCACTGATGTTTGAAAATTTCAGTTACAATTTATGTCTGAAACCGAATCAGACACTTTTTTTGTCTGAAAAATTTCAGATATTTCATTCAGACATTTTTCGTGTCTGAAATTCAGCTATTTACGAGGCATTCAGACATTTGACTGTTCAGTTATATCACCCGAGTCATTTAGCAAAGTCCATTCAAACACCACCTTGTAAGACATTTTATGTGTCTTACAAGCGGACTCATTTCCATGCATTTATCAAATCATCGATTTTTTTTTCTTTTTTGGTGGAGGGGGCCGGAGGGGGAGGGGGCGAGGGGGTTAGAGTCAAATAATAATATTATTATTATTATTATTATTAATAATAATATTATAAATAATATTATTATTATTATTTATTCGTTCTGTTCGTAAGGTACAACCTTGTAACAGCAATCTAGGTACAATAAATTTTAGAATTCAATAGACACATGCCAAGAGATTGAAGACGCTCTGTCTCAGTGAAAAAGTCAAAGCCTGAGTGTAAAAAAGTCGTTGGGGTGTTAGGTTGATGAGTTAGAATAAAATAATAAGTCAAGGGTTCTATGAAAGCCGTGGAGTCTATATAAAAAAAAAGTTTCCAAAATATTGCCAATTCAGAGCGCATAAAGAGTCAGAGCAGTCGCAAAAAGTAAAAAGAACACACAAAAAACAAAAAGATTGCTGTTAATGTAAAAATTACAATGACAATATCAGAGTAGAATATAAATTGGAAAAGATTTAAACTGGCTTAAAATAGTTCGTGATGAGGTTAACACAACGAATCCTTGAAGATGAAGATGGAGGCTGGGAGGTGATAGCCGAAGCGACAGAGGGTCCAGCATCAGTCGACAAGGCAGCGGCTCTTATTCTCAAGGCATATTTTGAGAAAAAGATTTTTTTTGTGACTAGAAGATCCTGGTTCGCAAGACCCAGAGCTGCATCAGTTGAGAGGAGAGTGAGTCGGAAGCAGTAGGCACATTCCGATGGTCTAAATGCTCGTGGAGGAGGGAAGCCGTGTAGCCTCTGTAGGCAAGACATTCCATTAGGAAGAGCTTGACTGTGTCCAACGCGTTCGAGTGGCAGACTGGGCAGGGTTTGGTCGGGTCGAGCTTAAAGAAAACTTTATTGAGCAGCAGGGTACAGCCCAAGTTGGTTGCGAGGCGTAACTGGGCGGAGGTTCTTTTCACGACAATTGGGAGGTGATTCGACAAGTACGTGGCAGGCTCCAAGGAACTTGGGCGAACTAGTTTATTCTGGGGGAATTGTAAAGATTCGCACCTTAGTTGATCACACTCCCGATAGTACTCCTTGAGGGCTGATAGTACACTCTCCTGCTCGGAGGACCAGTAGTCAGGGTCCTTGCAGTAACAGTTGAATTGAATGTTGGCTGGCGCGAGTAACATGGCAAGTTGCAGGACTCAGTTAAAGTTCGGGACGGTCTTGTGGAGAGTGACTACTGAACCTGACGTTAGTAGTGGTGCCGCAAGATCCATGAGTCGGAGCAAACAGGTTTTGGGAAGCATGTCATCTTACATCCTCAGCAACTTTTCATACCACCTCAGCGTGAGCTTGACCACCAGGAGTCTAATGGGGGTAGCTCCTACCTCAAGTCTCAAGACGTAACTTGGAGTATTCGACGGCAGGTGGAAGAGCCTCTTGTAGAATTTGGATTGAACGAGTTCGATATCCTCCACATATTGGAGTGCCCAGGTAGGGGAACCATATAGCAACGTAGAGACCGCGATGCTGTCGAAGAGTTTCTTTGAAGCGTACCAGGAATCCGAGGATGCATGTGCTAGGAGACCGAGGACCGAACCAATTGCGACCTTGGACTTCTCTACAGTAATCTGAGCAGGAAGTCTGCCGAGTGCAGAGGAAGAGAATGGGATCCCCAGGTAGTTGTATGATGAGACAGTCTCCACCTTCTGACCATCGATCACCAAGGGGAAGCCCTTGAGGAGAGATACAGGTCCGGCTCTTCTGAAAACAACGATCTTGGTTTTCGAGACGTTCACGTTCGATGCTTGCGTTTGAAGTATTCTGATAGGTCTTGGAGTAGATGATGTAGCTGGATCTGGCTCTTGGCAAAAACCAGGAGATCGTTAGCAAAGAGGAGGGAGAGCAGATCAGTGGCTGAGTCAATTGAGGTGCCAGAGTGGCCTTTGTTCCTGAGGAACTTGTCAATGTCGTTGATGTAGAGTATGAAGAGGAGAGGGCTCAGGCTCTTACCCTGGAGAACTCCCTCAGTGACCTCGGTTTTCCCAGATAGTTTACCCTCAGATTTCACTTGAAGACTGGCGTGGTTGTACAAGGACTTGATGGCACAAATTAGCTTGCGACTAACCCCAATCGAGTGGAGCTTCATCCAGAAAGCCTGATGGTCGACAGAGTCAAAGGCCCTTTTCAGGTCAACAAAGAGGCCGTAGACTTTACGTTGTGGCAGCCTAAGTTGGAGATGTATGGTTGAGAGGGCAACGAAGATATTGTCAAGACAGGAACGTCCCCTTCTGAATTCTGGTTGGCATTCAGGGAGAAGGTGTAGTAATTCAGCCCAGTTTTCCAGACGGAAACACAGAAATTTGGTGAAGATTTTGGCTAGAACTTTTACCAAGGCAATACCCCTGTAATTCTCAGGGTTGGATTTATCCCCTTTCTTGAAAATCATGCCCATGAGGATCTCGTTCGAAGTGTGAAGAACAGTTTCTCTCTCCAGGATCTTGTTAAAAAAAGTGAGTACGTAGAGTTTC